AAGCATTTATTGGGCACTAGCTGTGTGCCAGGTCCTTGGGCCCAGTTGACAATGTTGGGACAGCAGTAAAGGGGCTGTTGTTAGAGTCTGGGGGTCCTGGAGGGGATGAACCGACTGGGCAGGCTTCCAGAGTAGGGGGCAGGCCATGCGGGTGGCAGCACTGTGGTGTGGTGACCCTCAGGAACCCACGGGGAGGAGGCATGGTAAGGAAACTGAGACTTGCAGGGCGAAGTCACTTGCCGAGTGTACATTGCTGGCAGGCACCAGAGCAGGATGGGGCATGGGCTGAAGCCTGGGCTCCCTCTGTCGGGCCTGGCTCATGGGGCTGACTGTCCTCCCTTCCTCCTGTTGCGCCCTCGGGCCCTGTCCTCTGTGGGGCTGGCAGATCCTACTGTGCATCCAGACCTGCCTCTGAGGAGCCCGGCATTCTCTCTTGGATGGCCTCTTCCCACTCAGACCTGCTGTCTCCTGACCTGGCCATATGTAGCCACTGGGCCCTGCTTGGGAGCTCAGTCCTGCCGCAGACTTTGTCCCAGCCTGGGAGTGCCACTCTTGTCCACGTGGCCAGGGCTGCCTCACAGGGGACCTCAGTGCCTGCCACAGCTGTCCCCCGGCCCCAGTCCCTGCCCCAGGTGCCATTGCTCATGCTTCAGCAGACCTTGGGCTGTCCCTCTGCTGGCCACTCATCCCGTTTCCCCAATGCCCGCCTCTCCCCATCCACTCACCCCTCCCAGCCTGTCCATGACCACGTACCTATTCCCAGGGATTGTGTGCCAGAGAGCTGGGCAAAGAAGGAACCCAAGGGACCCACAGTGACTGCTCAGGGAGGCTTGGCCCCTGATGAGGCCAGGAGTCCTCACATGGACAGGGCCTCCCAATGTAGACTGGGCTCCTGACAAGCTCCCGACAATGCCTGGGACCCCCACATGGACTGGGCCCCCACATACACTGGGCCCTGGACGTGAACGGGGCCTGATGGTGGTCATGTTGTCCCTTGGCAACTGTCATCCGAGGTGGGGAGGGGGTCGGCCATCAGCCAGTCACTTTCAGGGCTTGACTCCTGCCCCAGCCCAGGTGTTGTCAGGTTGTCCTCCCAAGCACGTGTCGACTACTCCAGGATAAAGCCCCAGCTGACGCGGGCTGCCACTGAGGTCCTTTCACATTCCAGGCCCGGGACACCTGGCTAGTCCTGGGCCGCTCTCCCTGTGGCTGCAGTGGCGGCCTGTTGCATCCAGCCTGCTGTGTGAGACTGCCAGGTGGCAGCTGTGCGGGCCCCAGGGCAGGAGCTTCAGGGATGGGTGCAGGCTGACTGCCAGTGAGGGGGTTGGAGGTCTGGACCCCTCCTCTACCCTCACGAGTCACAGGGGCTGTGGGGTGTGACAAGAACCAGGCCTGCGCCCACTTCCCACCCAGGGCCACAGGCTGGTCGGGGGGGGGGCAGGGGCCTCTGGAGAGGATGGACAGGCCCTGGGCAGTTTGTCCTGGCATCCCTACATGGACGGGCATCAAGGGACCCATTCATCCTGACTCCTGGGGCAGTGGGGCTGGCTCTGCTGTTGTGGGGCTTGAGGGACACAACACCAGGGTGACCCCGTGAGCAGAGGGCGTGGCCCTTTCCTGGGGCCCCGGGCAGTGGCCTTCTCTCTTACCTCTCACGGTGCTCGAACTCAGCGCGGCCGTGTCTGGAGTACGCCCAACAGAGAAGTCTTGCTGGGCCTGCTCTCAGTGTCTTCACCTAAATCTAAATGACCTGGCTTCTTTCTTTCTCAATGGCAACGAAATCTGTGTGTGTGAAGAATGCATAGTGTTGGTGAGAGTTGACCACATTGAGTCCGCATGTGACATCATAGGGGTCGGGCCCAGGAGCCCCATGTCCCTGCCTGTGGGGTGACCGCCACTCTGACACATCCTTGTACTCCGAGCTTGCGGTGGCCCCCTAAGGCCTTTGGAGGATGAACGTCCTCGCCCAGCTGCCAGAGCTGGTGCCAGCCAATCCCTCCAAGACCCTTCTAAGCCCTCAGCAGAGCCCACAGGCAACTGGGCCTGGCTCCAGCCACTGTTACCTCCTTCAAGGCAAACTACGACCCTGGACCACTCCGTTGTACTGCCTGGACCCTGGGTCCTCGGCTCTCACCACAGCCAAGGAGCCCCGGGAAAGGAGGTGTGTGACTTTGGTACATGGAAGCTACAGGGAAGAGTGTATGCTAAGCTCTGAAGTCACAGAGACTGCCTCACTTCTGCCTGTCAGGGCAGCTTCGTGTGAAGTGGACCCTAGTCAGACGTGGTTGGGGTGGGCAGGCACTCAGTGGGGGTCCACCAGGTGGCCCACGGTGGTGGTGGCTTTATGCAGACCTGTGCAGGTGACCCGTGCCCCACCCCTTGCTCCAGCCTGTTTGTGTAACAGCCTGTTCGTGTAACATGCCTCTCACATGGGTCCCCAGGCACCAGCTCTCTCAACCCAGCAGCAGGGCCATCCCTGTCTGCCTGTGTCTCCGTCTCCTGGGGGCTTCCTGCCCATGTGGTGCCAGGCACATGGCAGGCTTGGCGGCTCTTCCCACAGCCCCTGTGGACAGGATGTGACTGACACACAAAGCACTCTACCCAGGAAGTGAGCGGGAGCAGCTGAGCTGGCTGGGTGGGCTGGTGGCACCTTGGGCTCATGGTGTCCTTCCCCTCCTTCGAGCCCAGCTCTCACCTCCCTGCTGCTTGGGGGGCAACCCATGCACCATGCTGGGTGCTCAGGAACCTTGGCCAGTGCCAGGAGGCCTGCAATCACTGCACCCGTGGCAACTCTGTGGTGGCCCAAGTCCCTGACTCCTGGGTGCGGGCCCCTCGCTGGGCAAGAGCATAAACTGCAGACTGTGTCCCAGAGGGCTGGAGGGGGGCAGCCAGGTGTGCCCAGCAGCTTCTGGAGCAAGTGGGATGTCAGTGGGGCCCATGGGGCCGTCACCTGGGCTTGTGTGATATGAGGTCCACATGAGAAGAAACCCAGGTTGGATGGATGTTGGGTGCCCTGGGCAGGAGTAGACACACGGCCAGCTCCCCCCAGGTGGGCATGAGCTGAAGGGAGTCCTGCTTCCCCTTCTTAGTTGGGGGCAATGAGACAGTCCCTAAGCAGGGCACTGGGGGCCACCTGAGAGGGCTCCTGTGTGGCTCCATCCAGCCTTTGACCTGGGGCAGAGGGGACAGCTAACAGGGGTTGGGGTCAGCTGGGTCCACTGCAAGTCTCCGAGGGTGCTGGGGGCTGTGCACATGGGTCCCCTGCACGTGTCTCCATAGAGACCCTGCAGCTTGCAGACCCCTGGGAGAGTAAACAGGTAAACGTGGAGGCTCAAGGCCCGGGAAGCAGGTGGGGCTTCAGTTCAACCAGGGTGGCTGGGGAGGTGCAGCAGGGAGGGCAATGTGCATGCGTGGTGGAGGCCGCTGCAGGGAGGGTAGGGGATGCTGCTCCCCAGGTGAGCATGGGGTGGATGCTGGGTGCTCTGCAGGGAGAGCTGTGGGTTCAGCCCAGAATGGACATGGGTGTGAGGCAGAGGCTGTGGTTTTGGCCTAGGATCTTGGAACGGCAGGACCCGCGGATTTGGTTTGCTGGGACACCTGGCTGTTACTTGGGGTGGATGAGCAGGGCCCTGCCGTTGGCAGGGGGTGGGTCTTAAGTGATGGGCCAGGCCTCCCTGCCCTGCCGAGGGCACACTGCATGCCTGGCGATAGGTGCTGGAGGCGAGGCCCTGGGCAGTTCCTGGAGTGGCGTCTGCTTAGCTGGGGGGTGGTGGGGGACTGTGTCCCAGGGAGAGGAAGACAGGGTGTGCTTGCCCAGAGAATCTGTCTTTGCATGGTTGACTGCTGTCGTGCAGTTAGAAACTTTGCTGGTGCTGCCAGGTCATGACATTCAGGGAGTCAGCCCCGGCAGGTTGCACAGGAGACCTTCACCAGCAAGGTCACAGCAACGAGACCCCCAGCTCATTTCCCCCCCTCAGGAGTCCCCAGCTCAGAACCCCAGGTTAGAAGTCAGGACCCCTCCTCATCACCCTCTTGACTCATGTGTGTCCCAGCTCAGGACCCTCCAGGCCAGGAACCCTGCTCAGGTGCCCAGGAGGCCTCATGGAACCTGAAACAGAGCTGGAGTGGCAGCGTACAGGAAGCTCTCTGGCCTCAGACTCAGCCTGGGGAGGGTGGCCTGCAGGCTCGTGGGGACAACACAGCAAAGCTCTGGACTTTGGCGGGGCAGGGGCAGGGGCTTCATCACGACTCTGTTGCTGTTGTCTGTCCTCACTGGAGGGATAGCTGGGCCCCACCAGGGCAGGTCCTTCCTGGTCTCTGTCCTGTCCTGGAAAGGCAGATGCAACAGGGACTCACGGTCCTCACTGTTCCTGAAGGAGGCGTCCCTGGCCCCATCCAGGTGGCTGCACAGGGTCCTGGCTCTGCGGTGGCCCCATCCTTGTGGCATCTTCCCTGGGCTTCGCTGTCGTGTGTCTTCACAGCCGTGCCCTCCCCTGGGGTCCCAGCCCCTCACAGGCTGGCCACCTAACTGCAACCCTCCACACTGCATGCTGAACGCTGCAGGGAGACACAGATCCTGGGGCCCATGGCAGGGCGGGGTTGGGGTGTCCTGGGGCTGCCCATGGGCCAGACCATCCAGCACTCTGAGGGCTTCGAGATGGGGCCAGGGCTGACCAGGTCACCAAGAGAGACCAGCAGGGTTATGGGGGCTTGTGGGTGTCAGTGGGAAGCACTTCCCGTGGGTGTCACTGGGGAGCACTCCCATGGGGTGACACAGAGGAGTACTTCCCGTGGGGTGTCGTTGAGGTGCCCTTCTTGTAGGGTGTCACCTGGGGAGCACTTTCGGGGGGTGTCCCCAGGGAGCTCACCCCTCTCAGCCCCTGTTGTGACTATCTGACGTGCACCAGCGGTGTCACCTGTTCCTCTCCCTTCCCTCCCCTCAGGCAGTGTGGTCCTTCAGGGTCCCCACCACATAACCGGCTCTTCCCTGTCTCCCACAGAAGGACATGGCCCTGAAGCCACACGAAAGGAAGGAAAAGTGGGAGCGGCGCCTGGTCAAGAAGCCCCGAGAGTCGGAGCCCTGCCCCACTGCAGAGCCCAGTGAGAGCCGGCGGTCCCTGGAGGCAGGCAGCCCCGGGCAGGACCTTGAGCCGGCCTGTGAGGGGGCAGCCAGGAAGGCCCCGCTGCAGCCCTCCCAGCAGGTGAGCGGGTCCCCCTCTTGGAACTGCAGCAGGTCCAGGCCAGCACCCGGACAGTGAGGTGGCACCTGCCTGGCAACACACCCTCGTTGGGGCTCCGGGGCTAGCCACAGAGTGCGACGACTTGCCTGGCCACCGTAGGGCAGCGAGAGGGCAAGCAGGGCAGGGATGCCACGCTGCTAGGCTGGCCCCGTTTCCCACTGCGTCTGTCCGGCTCCGCCGACTGGGTGTCCAGCTTGTCTGTGACGGGCGTGGGTTCCGGTGCATCACTGACGCGTGGCGTACGGGAGGGGAATGCTTAGCTCGGTGTTGGCCGCAGGTACTTGACTTGTGGTTGGTGGTCAGGTGCACAGTACAGCGGGAACAGGGCCCTTCTGGGCCTCCCTGCCTGGCCTGGTCAGGACAGAGCAGGAGGGCTGTCGAGTGGGGAGGCCGCCCGGGGCTTCCTGGGTTGTGGGCTCTGTCCCGGCGGCGGCTCTGCTGCAGCTGCTTCTCCTGGGGTCCGCTGGTCTGCGCCTTCTCCTTGGGCGGGCTCTGCTTGTGTCCTGGCCCTGGGTCAGACCCCCAGAGCGGGCTGCTGGAGAGGGCAGCGAGCCTCATGGGCTGGGCTGGACGGGGGGCCGGGCAGGCCTGCCCAGGTGGACACGTGCTCTTTCTTCCATGCAGGTGGGCTCCCCAGAAGGGGGGCCGCTCCCAGCCAGCCACTGGGACCAGCACAGCCCGGCCCAGCGCCAGCAGCAGCTCCAGCCCAGCCGGCCCCCGGGGTCCCTCCCTACCCCGGCAGCACCCCCGGACCCTGGGCGGCCCTGCCAGCCCCAGCCGCCACCACACCCGGGTCAGCGCAGCTGGCCCCAGCAGTCACTTCCGGGCCAGAGACAGCCCTGCCAGCCCCGGCGGTCACTTCTGGGCCCCGGTCAGCCCTGCCAGCCCCAGCGGCTGCTTCCAGTCCCAGACCAGCACTGCCGGCCCCAGCGATCACGCCCAGCCCAGCCCTGCCAGCCTCACTGGGCACTCCCAGGCCCCAGGCGGTGCTGTCGGCGCCTACGATCCCTGCTGACCCCCTGTCACCACTTCCGGCGCCTGCGGTCCCTCCTGGCTCCGCGGTCCATGCTGACCCCATGTCACCACTGCTGGCGCCTGCGGTCCCTCCTGGCCCCATGTTTCCACTGTCGGCGTCTGCGATCCCTCCTGGCCCCCCGGTCCCTCCTGGCCCGCTGCCTCTGCTGCCGGCGCCTACGGTCCCTTCTGGCTCCAGGGCACCGCTGCCGGCGCCTGCGGTCCCTACTGACCCTCTGGCACCACTGCCGGCCCCTGCGGCCATGGGCCAGCCAGTGTCATTGTGGCCAGCCCAGTAGGGCCTCCTTGGGACAGCGCTGCCGGCCCCTGTGGTCTTGGCTAGCCCAGTGTCAGCGGTACCAGTCCCCCCGGCCACTCCTTACCCTGCGACCTCGCCGCCGGCCCACCTGCTTTCTCCCAGGACAGTGCTGCTGCCCCCGGCGGGCTTTCCTCACCCCGTGTCAGTACAGCCAGCCCCAAAGGTCCCACCCAGGCCAGCCCAGCCGTCCCCGGCAGTCACTTCTGGGCCTCAGGCAGCCCCAGCAATTAGCGGAAGCCCCAGAGCAGCCTGGCCCACCCACCCCCTCACTGCTGGGTCCAGGACAGCCGGGCCAACAGACCCGGCCGCTCATGGGCCCAGAGCAGCCCCGCCCACCCAAGCGGCCACTCATGGGCCCGGAGCAGCCCTGCCCGCCTCCACGGCCACTCATGGGCCCCAACAAGCCCTGCCCTCCCCAGCCATTACTCCCCATCCCTGACCGCCCTCCACTCCTGGGACAGCCGGGCCCGCCCCGCCGGCCTCTCCTGGGGCCCCCGTGCCAGCCACGGCGGTCCCTGTTGGATCTGGGGCCAGCCCATCAGCCCCAGCTCTCGCGCCTAGCTCTGGGGCATCCCTGCCGGCCCCTGAGGTCACGGTGGACCCGATCCTTCCCCCCTGGGGTGGCCCGTCAGGCCCCATCAGTGAGCCCTGGAGCCTGACGCCCTGCAGGTACCTCCCTGGATGTGTTTTCAGACCTTCTTGGGGGTGGCGCTGACAGGGCCTGAGGCATGGCCACCCCGCCCAAGGCCCAAGGGCCTTGCAGGACTGGCCTGAGACCGCCTCCAGACAGGCTGACCTGTGGGCTAATGGAAACTGAGGCTCAGCCAGAGGTGGGAGCACCCGTGGCTCGTGGTCAGGAGAGGCCGCCGCCAGGAGGAGAGGAAAGGAGAGGAGTCCTGATCCTTGCTGCCACCACGCCATGTCCCCCAGCCCCGAGTCCCTCCTGGTGTCATGGGGCCCCACCACCTGTGCTTCCTGTGACGTGCTTGCCCTGGGGGACATGGCCACTCTGGGGGTGTGGAGCTTACTGGGGCCTCTCAGCATCTTTTGTGCCTCTAAACTGCCAACCTCCTCTCTTCACTTCTGAGTCTTCACGAACACCTATCCCAGGTGTCACCTGTGTGCGTGGCATGGGCCTGCAATGGTGTCTGCATGTGTGCACTGTGATGTGTGTTCGTGCATTGGCCTGGTGTGCTGGCACGAGTGACTTGTGCGGACACTAACAGCAAGCTGTGCCCTCCTTGTGCCCCACTCCCCAGGACAGCCCAGGGGTGAATTCCTCGATGAGCGGGGGGCTGGAGGTGGGCTTTGGGTCCCCCTCTTCCTCAGTGGTACTGTGTTCCTGCCAGGGCCCTGCGCTGCAGGAGGGTCGCACAGGCAGGGCCCTCTGGTCCACCGAGAGCCACTGGTGACCTGAACCTCTTGCCCCCACCTCTCAGGACTCTGCCCTACCCCCAGTGCACTGAAGGGGCTGTCGGGTCCCAAGACCAGGAGTGCCGGTGGGCACAGGGGTCTCCCAGCGCCCCCAGCATCCTGTCAGCAGTCAACTACCCCACCCCAGCAGACGTCACACTGCAGGGCTGACGCAGCCAACCCACCATTCCCTGGCCCCCATGTGTGACTGGGTTCTCCCCCACCCCATCCCTCAGGCCCTGTCTCAGGGCTGCCCGACTGCAGGTCTCCTGGAGTCCTGGGCACCCCACCCAGTAGGGAGGCCATGCAGGGACCGTGTCTGGGAGGAGCGAGAAGGGGGTCAGAGACGTGTGGCTGCATGGGCCACCCGGGTCCCTGGGCTGAGGCCCCGTGGGCTGGTCTCGCCTGCGCGTCTCCGGATGCACGTGGCTCACCCCAGCCCCGTGCACCTGAAGACCCGCCCCCCAGGAACTCACTAGGCTCCCTGGTGGGGTCCACTCTGGCCCCAGCCCTGCAGCCTGCCACCCCTGCCCCCTCACCTGGAACCTCCATTCAGAAATGCAGGGTTTATTTTTCTGATTAAAGAAAATAAAAAGTGCTGTGCCACTATTTTTATAACAGCATTAGCGTGTATAATTTAAACAGACGAGTGTGTCCTATGTGATTTATTCTGACAAATGGATTTTATGCATCTGGACTCGGACTCCATTCATTAGGTTCTGAGCAGAGGGGAGCCTGGGGTGTCTGTTCCTGCTCTTCCCACCTCCAGCTGAGGCCTGGCGGGGGGCGCTGGCCTCCAGACCAGGCAGAAGCTAGGGGGCAGGGGCAGGACATCCTTGCTGCTCGTGCCTTGGAGTGGGGCCCTGGGACCACTAGGGTATGTGGGACTCCTGAAAAGGCAGAATTCAGACCATGCTGATGCTGCTCTTGTGGGCCAGGACCCCGTCTGTCTTGCTAGGGTGGGGGCCCAGGCCCTGGCCCTGGCATTCCCTGTCGCATGCACGGGGGAGGCCTGGGGTGGGGGCAAGTCCTGGCCACTGGCCCTGGAGGTTGCCCACATAAGCCTCTGCCTGGTAAAGGGACCAGAGTTGCCCTCTGCATCCCTGTTATCACATACTCAGGATGGTGACAGTTTCGACTGCCCCCTGCTCTCCTCTGTTGATTCTGGCCTGTTCCTGGGGGTGCTGGAGGGGTCGTGTGAGCGCAGGATCGTGTCCACATCCAGCCCGGGGTGGCCTGGGAAGCATGTGGAGAGAAGAAAGGCTGTCTGGACCAGGGCCTCTCTGGGCTGTGGCGGTGGCACTCGGCTGTCCCTTAGTGAGGAACCCAGATGGACAGCGGCAGGAGAGAGGCCCAGGCTGCAACCATCTGGGCTGGAACCCAGGGATCTCACAAAGCCTGGCTGTGCCCCGGCTGCCATCCTGGGCCTGTGTCCACACTGGTCTCAGGGTCAAAGTGCCACTGTGGGAAGAGTAGAGCTGCCAGGATCGTAGGGGGGGGTCAGTCCCATGTGCGTCCTGGGGGTTCTGCATCCCTGAGGGGCTGGCACTACCAGTTGTCACCTCAGGGAAAGACATATCCTGTGCAACTAGATCTTTGAACAGCTGGAAACCCAGATTTTTCCAAGGGTTCGGCGATGTTGAGATGTCAGTGGCTAAATCCAATTTTTAAGACCTACCTTGCTGACCCAAGGACATGGCTGGTGGCCCTGCTTGGCCTGGAAGTGGGGCATGGGCTCTGTCACAGGCAGCAGTTCTGGGCCCTGAGGCCAGATGGGGAGTGGCCTGTTTCCTGGTCCCTGGGTGGGCCTGTGCCAGGTGGTGGGCTTGGGTCCTGGCAGCTGGGGAGAGAAGGTGAGGACTGCCCAGCTTGAAGGGTGGAGGTGGAGTGAGTCTTTGGGGGAGGCCACCCACTGCCTGCCTGTCAAGACCCTCATTGCTGCCTCAGGGTCCCTTCTGGAGGCTGGGACCTGGGAGCAGTGCTGAGTGACCGTTGGCCCTCTGATCACCCCTGCTGGGCCCCCGTGCCTGCCCTGAAGCTGTCACTGTGGACAGGGCCCCTCCCATCTACCGATGGCTTTGGAGCAGCAAGAGCCTCTGGGGACAGCGCATGGTCCTGTGGAGCCCTTAACAGGGGAGCACAATCATGTGGCCTGCCGTTGGGGTACAGAAGGTGGTGTCCGAGATGGGTTCCCTGAAGACACTCCTGAGACACG